CGAGGTCGTCGATGTACACCTGCCACCAGCCGGCCTCGCGGCCACTGCCCAGCTCGACGATCGGGGGCCCCTCGACCCTTCCGCCACTCCAGCTCAGGCGGAAGCCCTGCACCCCTGGGGGGCGGCAGGCGGCACAGCCTGCGGTGAATGTGCTGGAAGACCGGGGCCGCCAGCATCCACCCCGTGGCAATCACCGCGGACGCGATGCACACCTGCCGCTCGGGGCGCACGAAGAGCGCGCCAGGGAGAGAGCTGCCGACCGCCATGTTGGGGTGCCAGGTCTTCGGGATCCTCCAGACGAAGAAGGCCCCCTTCTGGTCGTCACCCGACCGCAGCAGCAACTTGCCCTCGGGGATGTGCAAGGACACCCAGCTCGTGGACGCCGCGAGGAGCGAAACCTCACCGACATGCGGCTTGAGCAAGGCGTTGCCAAGGACCACGTTCAAGATCAGCCTGGTGACCCGCTCGGCGCCTGGCTCGCCCTGGACCCTGACGAGCTCATCCTCGCTCACACTGCGAAAATCCCGAGCTTCACGAGGTGCACCGCGAGCTCGCGACAACCCGCTTCGTCCGCGACGTTGACCCTGGCCCGAGGCATGGGGTCGGGCCAGCCGGCCTCGGGAAGACGGGCCTTCTCGGGCGAAGCCAGCCACTCGGCAACGTCGGGCTCCGCGAAGTCCAGAGTGCCCAGCGCCGCGGCATGCTCTGGCTGCGGCAGGCCTGGCGCCAGCTCCGCGAGCACGCAGGGCAACGCCGTGGCCACGGGCTCGCCCGTGTAGTCGACGGTCGCCTCGCTGAGGTCCGCGTCGGCGGCGGGCACGCTCACCTGCTCGAACGGGCTCCCCGGGAAGTCGACGACGCGGGACTTCAGGAACCCCGTGGCCTGCTGTTGTGCCTGGGACAGAGTCGGACGATGCCTCCACCTCCAACCCTCCTTGCAGCGGCCACAGTACGTGAAATTCAACGCCGTGGCGGTGAGAAACAAACAGGCCCCCTCAGCTACCTGACGAGCAATTGGCCTGGCCCTGCATCGGTGCCCGGCATCTCTGCTCGTGCACCAGCGTCTGACAGCCGGGAGACCTGGCAAAGGCAACGGCATCAGGTCAGGAACGCGCCTGCCGCTACCGCCAAGTGTGGGCACGTGCTTTGCAAATTCACGCGAGAAAATCCCCAGCCTGCCAGGGTGGCGCTCGACGAGCTGCACGAGGTGCACTGCCATGTCGACGCTCGTGATGGTCGTGCCGAACTGGACCGCGACCTCGTCGCGCCACGCCTCAGCGTCGCGCGCGGCGCAGCCCGCGGCGGGGGGGCCCCGCATGCCGTCCAGAAGCGAGGTGCTCGCCAGCCCCCGCTGCTGCCCCCCGCTGGGAGGCGCCCCAGCCGCGCGGCGGCTCCTTGCCCCCCCCCCCCCCGCCTCCAGCCAAGGGAAGTCCTCAGACACCAGCAGCGACCCGCTGCTACAGGTCGAGAACCGCGCCGCACCCTCCTCCTCGGAAGCTGCACCTCCAGCAACCTCGGCAACGTCTGCTACCGCCTCTGGCCGCGCGACTCCGTCATGAAGTTCCGCAGCCGCGCCTTGCACTCCTTCGACGTCCCGCTGTCCTTCTTCGGGCAGGCAGCCCTCGCCGCCTTGAGGTTCAGCGGCGCCTGCGAGCTTCCAGCGGGCAGCCTCCCCGCGGTCTCGTCGAGCTGCGCGGCGCGCTGGTGGGGCGGCCTCTCGCCATCCTTCGCGCTACCCTTCGGCGCCCCCGAGCGGTCGGGCGCGCGATCGCTATGCAGCCGCGCCGTCGCGGAGGATTTCCCCCTCGCCTGGCCTGCAGGAGGAGGCGCCAGCAGCGGGCGCGCCTCCTCCCGGCCTACACTTCAACCCCGAGGCTTGCGAAGCCGGCTGCTGAGCTCCTCCAGCTGCAACTCGCCGAGCTCGGTACTGCGGATCATCTCCTCCTCCTCGTTGCGCAGCATGGTGGGCTCGTGCATGGCGGGGATCAGCTCGAGCCACTTCGCCGCGCCCCAGTGCCCGTCGCCGACTGCTACCTGCGCCGCCTTCAGCCGCTGGGTTAAGATGTCCAGCGCCTGAGGGATCTTGCCCTGGAAAAGAAAGTCGATCGCCTCGGCCAGCGTCCGCATCTCGCGATACGTGGCAACCCCGATCTGCCGCACTGGGTTCTGGGGCAGGTAGATCGTGAGCAGGTACCGCAGCACGAGCGCCATCGTCGGGCCCACCGCCGTGTCGCCCTCGACGGCGCCGAGGAACTCCGCCATCTGCATCGGCGTGAGCTCCAGCAACTTGCCAGGCTGGTCCTGCGCCATCTTCCTGCGGCGAGCCCGCTTGGTCGCAAGGCACCCCGTAGCCGCGGCGCCGTCGACCCCGCTGAAGGGGTCCGAGGCGGCGCCAGCGTCCGAGCTGCCAACAGCCTGCGCGGCCGACCTCTTGAGCACCGCCATGAGCGCCGTCGCCAGCTCCATCGCGCCCTCGCCCGCAGCACCCCCGCTGGCCGCAGCTGCAGCAGCTGGGCCGCCCGAGCCCCGCGTCGCCTCGGCGCTGGGGCCCTTGGCGACCTTCGCCATGCACTCGGCGAGCACCTCGGCGAGGCTCCGCTTCTTCGGCTTGCCCTCGCTTGGCGCGCCCCCTGCACTGCCTGGCTGCGCGCCAGCCGCAGCGGCCACGGGCGCCGCCGAGGCAGCCTGGCCCCGCGCCGCGGCGAGCCTGGCCTGCAGCTCGCCCCGCGCGGGCTCCAGGGCGAGCGGGAGGCCCGCAGCCCGCAGGGTCAGGCCACCGTCGCCGAGCAGCGCATCGAAGGGGGCGTCGTGACCCACGGCCGCGCGCTTGGCCGCGCGCGCCCCTGCTGCCCCAGGTGACGGCGGCGCGGTGCTCTCCCTCTTCGGGCGCGCCGCCCGACGCGGAGCAGCCAGCCGCGCCGAGCGCGGCCCCGGCAGGTCCGCCGGCCAGATTGCATCGGGGTTGCGGGCCAAGCGCTTGGAGAAGACCTCCGCGATATCCTCTGCCTCCAGCCTGCGGGCGTCCGAGACGCGGATGAGCTCGTCGCAGCCCTCGGGCGCTTCCACACCGCGCGGCTCGCCCGCGCAGACGTGCAGCAGGGCGCCGGGGGGAAGCCGCCCACCAGTCCCAGTGCGCGTCGTCGCTGAAGAGAAGCCTTGCGCGCACGAGCTGCCCGGGGGCGGTCATGGCCCGAAGCGCCTGCCGCGCGAAGCCGCACTGCTGCTCACCGTCGTCGCTTAAGCACGTGCTCAAGTAGAACGCGTTCGGCTCGATGACGATTGGCTCGGCGGGCGACGGCCCCTGCTCCTCCGAGGCGGCGGCCGCCTCCTCGTCGGCCGAGGGCCTCGAGCCCCAAACCGTCGCCCAGAAGCTCGCCGACTGAGGCGACGACGCCGGCCCCGTGAGCAGCATCCATCTCCCAGCCAGGACTGCGCTCGGGCTCGGCTCACCGAGCGCGCGCAGCGCCGCGGCACAGGCCGCGCCGCTAGGCCGCGCGACGGGCGTCGCGCGGATGCGACGGCACACTGCGAACCTCGCGCCGCGGCGGGCGCGCCGCCGCGACGCGGGAGAGGGGGGCCTGGCTCAGGGCCAAAACTCACTGAGCCAGAACAGCTCTGGAACGGAGGGTCGACGGCGTGGGGGAGGCACGCGCCAGATGATATGACCACAAGCCAGTGTACGGACATAAATGTATATACATATATACATATATATATATATGGTACACCGAAGTATACCTATCTGTATACATCTACATATACAATCATGCGCATGTATATATACATGTATGTAGGCATGCACATACTCTATATACGCGTGTGCTACTCATGTATAAGGGCATGCATATATATATATATATATATATATATATATATATATACATATATATACATACATACATACAAGCATATACACATCTATATATACAGCTGCCTCATCGCCCCCTCTCCTTTCACGTCTCATCCCGTACTGGAGTCTCGCGTGCAATGGGGGGGCTGCCAGCGCGAGACCCCCCGGCCCCGAAGGGCCCCGCGCCCTGACGGGGCGGCAGCGCGAACGCGAGTCCGAACCCCCGGAGTGGACCCCAGGAGCGGCAGCGCGAATACGAGACCGAACCACTGAGGAGAGGGCGGCAGCGTGACTGCGAGTCCGGACCCTTAGGAGGGAGCGGCAGCGCGACCACGAGTGAACCCTCCCCAAGGGAGCGCCCCCCCTTCCGAGTTTGGCAGGGCAGGGATGGGAGGGGCCAAAGCGGCTGCGGGGGAGGCGGCAAAGGGATGGGCGCATCAAGGGGAAGTGCCAGGGGATATAAATTGCATGAGAAACTCAATGGCATGTATATCCCACTTGCCTCCTGACCCCCTCTCCTTTCACGTCGCATCCCTTGCCGGAGTCTTGCGTGCAAGGGGGGGCTGCCAGCGCGAGACCCCCCGACCCCGAGGGGCCTCGCGCCCAGACGGGTCGGCAGCGCGAACGCGAGTCCGAACCCCCGGAGTGGGCCCCAGGAGCGGCAGCGCGAACACGAGACCGAACCCCTGAGGAGAGGGCAGCAGCGTGACCGCGAGTCCGAACCCTTCGGAGGGAGCGGCAGCGAGACCGCGAGTCCGACCCCCCCCCCCAAGGGAGCCCCTTCCATGCACCCCACTTTGGTTTGCAATCTTTAATCCTGGGGAGGGAGGGTCGGGAAAATGCTGACAGCGAAGGTGTGAATCATGGCAGTGTAACCTTCTGTGCTCTCTCTCTCTCTCTCTCTCTCTCTCTCTTTTTCTCTCTCTCTCTCTCTCTCTCTCTCTCTCTCTCTCTCTCTCTCTCTCTCTCTCTCTATCTCTCTCTCTCTCTCTCTCTCTCCTCTCTCTCTCTCTCTCTCTCTCTCTCTCTCTCTCTCTCTCTCTCTCTCTCTCTCTCTCTCTCTCTCTCTCTCTTCAACGCGCGTCATGATCAAGGGCCGCCGCCGGGCGGCGGGGGCGGTCCAGCTCCAGGTCCAAACGAAATCTGCAGCCTGCTCTGCAGCCCGTCCGACATGTAGAGCTGCGCCGCGGCGGTGCCCTGCCACCTGCCCGTGATGAGCGCGTGGCCCATGTTGCTGTAGCAACGGTGGTTAATCGTCGCGCCGCCGCGGCGCAGGGGGCACGGCGCGCGCTGGCGGCGCTCGAGCCCCAGGCTGGAGATGAGCTCCCTGAAGACCCGCCTGAAGAGTGCCACGTCGTTGCGAGACCACGAGCGCGCCACGTGCTCTGGCGCGTGCTCTGGCATCGGTGTGACCCGCTGAGGCGTTTCCGTCCTCTGCCAAGCTTTGAGCATATTCCAAGAACTATGTAGAATACGTTTGCGTCCTAAGAAGAACTGCGCGCCTGAGATGGTCGAACCCGCATCTCCAGCTGGCCGGCCAGCGGCCCACAGCGCCTCAATCCATTCGCAAAGTTGAAAGTCAAGCTGTTCCACATCAGACTCCTCTGCTACACCGCGAGCATTCACCCACGAGGTGAAAGCCAAGGCCATCCTGTAATACTGTCGCAAGGTACGAGGCTGAACTACAGTGCGCGATAGCTTCCCCATTGCTCTGCGCGCACCAACACGGGCCACCCAATCGTGTTCGTAATCAATACGCCCCCGACGCGGCATGTTCGGCCAAAGTGGTGCCGCCTCCTCGGGAGGGGTCGTCGGTGGGATTTTGTGTCTGTCACGGTGTACCCGTAGATAGGTCGCGCCGAGGCCGCCAGAACCAGGGCCGATACCCTCTTAACAGCAGCATTGAGCACATGGGAAGAAGAGCGTCCTCTTGTTATCACACCAACGCCCACCTGTGAATCCATGAGGTGAGCAAACCTCGTGTACAGATGATGGCACACACGGAGTCTCCAACGTAGAGCAGCGAGCGCACTGAGGACCTCCAGCGCAGTGATGTGGCTCTTCCATTTCCAGCGCCAGACCAGGACCGTCTTCCATGTCCCGCGCGCCACACCGATGGGCCTCCGAGGCCACAGATCAGGGCACATCACCTCCAGCGAATCCACTCGAACATCCGAGCCTCGAACTTCAGTGCGTCTGACCGTGTCCTCCTGGGCTTCGCGGCCGCGCAGATCCTTGTGGCGACGCAGCACGCCCTCGTCACCGCCGGCCGCCATCCTCACCACGCCCTCGCACGCGTCGAAGCCGCCGCCTTGCTGCCGCAGCTGCTCCACGCTCGGGACGCCGTCGAGGTACCTCTGGCAGTGCGCCCAGTGCCCCAAGATCCAGGCCACCACGGCGCATTGGGAAGAGTTGCCCAGCAGGGCGCAACGGACCGCCTTCAGCTCGCGGGTCTTGCTTGCGGAACCAGGTCGCCATGGCCGTCGCCGCGTGACCAGGAGGAAGACCATCAGCATCTCCCGCTCAAAAGGAGCCCGCAGGCTTCAAATCACCGCAATCCCAGCGCAAGCAGTGGACAACTCGGAACTGGCACGGGGCATCGCAGTACTCGTGGGTGCGCCAGCGCGCCAACTCATCCTCCGAACACTGGTGCAAACCCTCGGGCTTAGAGCCCGCGCACGCCCTCGGGATGCAACGGGCGAAGGTCGGCAACCTCTGCTCCTCGCACTCTGCACCGCGCCAGCGACGGCCCGCATGAAGCCGCCGCTTGAGATCGCCCGCGCCACCTGGGATCAACACCCTCCTGACCTCCTCCGACTCGTTCACAGCGCCCTGCCATTGAGCCATCAGGTCCCAGTCGCACTAGTACAGCCTCTCTCGCCGAGCATGCGAGATGTTGGCCGCTTCGATTACCACGGGCTGCAGCCCCAGCGCCTGCGACGTGGCCTGTCTATCCAGGGCCTCCATGGAATATTTTTTCTCGATCTAGTTGAACAACTGCACCTCGACGGGGAACACACGACGCATCAAGGCCTGCACCAGCGAGATCTCGAAGACGAGGCCAGACCGCTTGCCAAGCAGCCCGCACCTGTCCACGCCGAGACGAGTCAGGTCCACGCAGGGGGCGCCTGCGCTGAGGATGACCCAGTGCGCATGGGGGGCTCGATCTCGGATCCTCCTCGCGTCCTTCTCCCCCCGGCTGCTGCGCGTCGCCGGGTTCCATCGCATCAGGCCAATCATGCCGCACTACCCGGCGCGCCTCCACGTCGGTCTCGGACGCGGCGTACACTGCAACACTCAAGCCCAGCATGTCGAGAACTCGCCTGATGCCACATATGCCGCCAACCAAAAACAAAAAACAGCGCGCCATCGTCCTGCAGTCGGCCTCCGCGCTGACCCCGAGCCGCTCGCGCGGCCGCGACCCCGCGGGGGGGAGTCGCACGGCTCGGCACACGGCGCCCTTCTGCTGACTGGCACCCCACACCGTCACCACGCCGCTGACAGGATGCCGCAGGTCGCACCTCATGAGTGGCAAGAACCCCAGCGCGATCAGGATATCCCTGAAGACGGGGCTAGGCAGGCGGCGCTCGCCTTTCCAGCGCACCACGGCTCGCCACAGATGGTCGAAGGCCGACGCCGCCTCCCTGCGGAACATCATAGCTCGCACCTAGCGGCCTGCAAGCACCTGCAACCATCTCTGCGCCACCTTCTCGCGGTCCAGCGAAAAGAAGCTTAGGCTCACCAGCTTGTAGGTGAAGTCCTTGGAGGGGCTGATCGCACCTAGCTCGCCGTCCACGACTTCGCCCAAGGCCTGGCTCTTCAGCGAGCGGCTCACAAACTTATCCTCGCTACGAGGGGCGCCGCGGGCATCGCATCGCGCCCGCGACAAAAAAAAACAGCCTCAGAGGGCCCTGCACTCTAAAGGGCTGCCAGCGCCACCTCATCCGCGATCTCCAGGAGGACGAAGTTGTCGGTGCACACCTGCCATGCGACCCGGGTAGGAGGACACGCAGGGGTAGAACAGGGCACACCCCCAGATGTCCTCGCCTCTTCCCTCCAGACCTTGATCAGCATATCACCATGGCATGCCTGATCTGGCCTGCAGTGACAGATGAGACGGCAGCCCGACAGCTCACCAATATCCTTGAGCAAATGCGGAGCTTCCCTCAAGTGGGTCTCGAACTGTAGGACGGCCGGTGTCCTGGACAAGCCTCGTGATGCCCTGAAAGGGTTCGCCCGCTTGGAGGGGGGGTAGCTGGGTAGCCGCGCCTCTGCCCTGTGCGCCCAGTGTGAACGGGTACGTGCATGTCGTCGTAGCTGCAGCCAACCCGCCCTTGCGCGGGCCCCCCCTCTAAGGCCCGCGGCTTTGCCAGCGAGGCCCGGTCCAAAGCGGGGGGCCCCGCGCCCAGCTCACGACGAGGGAGAGCGAGGTCGCGTCGCAACTCCTGCTCCACCGGCAGAGGCTCGACGCCTGGGGCCCACTCGCGCAACTGCGTCGCCGAGATCCAGCCCATGGGGGTCATCGCCGCCGCCGCGAACACGCTGCCACTCCCGGCCAGGCCCAGCGCAGCGCGCCTGACGGGCTTGGACAATAGGCCATGTACCTGTGCCAGACCACGGGCAGGCGGCACACGTAGAATCAGCACTTCAAGTCCTCCGACAAGGCCTGGAGCACCTCGCCATTCCTCAGAATGAGGCTCTTCCACTTGTCCTTCGCCGGCAGGAGGCCCACGTCGCCCTCGATCGTCTCCTGCAGCCAGTTGCTAGGGATGATGTTCATCACGAGGTGCTGCGGACCCTGGCCCATGCCGCGCCCTGACATGCGGACCCCAAAGAGGCCGTCCAGCACGCGCCGCGCTCTCACCTGCGCAACGCACTCCTCCTCGATAGGCACCGGTATCCCGCGGTCCACGAGCTCGGCGGCGATGAGCTCCCACTCGGCGTCCTGCGCCCAGACGCGGGGGGTCTTCGGCATCTCCTCCAGATCTTCAGGGTTCTCCAGGATCCACTCGGGGTTCTCCAGCACACCTCGGATCCAACCGTCGCTCACCTCCGTGGCCAGCACCGACCCGCGCGCGCGATTCGGCGGCAAGGCCAGCATCAGGCGCACTCGGTCGAGCTTCTCCGCGGCGTACACCCCCTCGCCCGTGTAGCTGACCGTTGAAGACTTGAGCGCCGACTCCCACTCCAGCATCGGCACCTCGTCGCCGTGCGGCTCCAGGAAAGCGCACACGCTCCGCGCCAGGTGCCGCAGGGCCTCCACCTGCACCAGGCCGGCGGGGCCGAAGAAGCGGCGGGCGCTGTCCCCCTTCAACAGAGGATGCTTGCCTCCAAAGCGATACTGGAAGTTCAACGCCTGCACCGCCAGGTAGAGCCACCCGTTCATGTCGCCCCCCATCGCCGCAGTCACCATGTTCACGATGTGGCCCTGGTCGAACTCCAGCTTCAAGTCACAGACCCGAGCGAGAGCGCAAGGCAGCGGCATCAAGTCACGACGAGCGCCCCCTCCTTGCGGACAGTGGCAAGGGATGAGCCTCTTTGCACTCCGCCTCGTCAAAGGCTGACGGGCTGGTGATCTCTGTCTCCCAGCTGCCTCCAGAGGTGTCAGTGCGGTTGCCCTGCTCCGCCTCCTACGTCATGCATGTTGCTACTTGTTCTCGCGGCCGCCCTCGCGCTTGCCCCTGCCCGGGCTCTTGCCGCGGCCCTTGGCTCGAGCGGGCTGGCCGCCCTTGTCGCGGGGCCGCGGGCGCCGCGACCCTGGCGGGCCCCGCCTGGCCGGGCTGCGCCCCTCCGCGGGCTCGGCGAACACCGCGCGGCGCGGCGGGCTCGCGGCGCCTGGCCCAGGGCGCAGGCTGGACCTCCTCGGCGGCCCTGGGCTCGAGCCGCGAGCCGCAGCCCTTGCCAGAGGGGATGGGGGGGCGTCCGAGCGAGCTGCGGCGAGGGGGGCGCTTCCCCCGGGCTCGGGGCGCGCCCCTCCGCAGCCCGACTCGAGGCCCGCGGCCCCTTCGCCCCCGCGGGCGCTGCGAGCGGCGCGCCAGCCCCTCGACCAGCTGCCTTGCGGCCGCGGCCCCTGCCCTTGCGCCGGAGAGCCTTCCGCTGCGACGCCGTCGACCCCGGCGACTCGTTCACTGCCTGAGCACCAATCTTCGGAGGGGGCGGCGCCACGGGGGAGGGCGTCCTGGCGCCCTCGGCCTCTCCCCCGCCAAGCCCCCAGAGGGACTTGCCCTTGCCGCTTGCCTTGCCGAGGCGCCCCCTCAACTTGGCCCCCATCCAAGTGCGCCGCCACGGCCGACGCCGGCTCCGCCTGCGAGGCCAGCCCGACGTCCGTGGAGTCCACCAGCTCGAGGTGCTGCGCCACCTGCCAATGCCCGTTATGGTCGCCTGCTCGATGGCTTCCGGCCTCTGCGTCAGCACGTCGCCCAGGCGCGGCGGCTCGCCGCGAGTGAGGGCGTCCAGGCATTCGCCTGTCATCCTCATCTCTCACACGTTGCGAAATCCCATCTCGCTCTGAGGATGGGCCCCGTGTCGCGCGCTCGTGATGCATTGCGCCACGTTCGCGCTCAGGCCGTCCAACTCGTCGTCGTCTGCGGCCCCGCCCCGCTGTGCCAAGTACTCGCGGATCTGCTTCAGGCCCGACGCCATCGGAGCTCCTGGATCGGAGCGGGCGAGGCGTTGCACTCGCCGGCTGGAACCAGCGGGTGGGGCCTCGTCAAAAAGCGACTCGTCTGAGGCGTCGTGGTCCCGACTCTCGTCTCCGCAGCGACGCCTCCGCTGGCCCTCCAGTGCAGCGTCGGATCTCTCGGCGAGGGACTCCTCCATCGAGCGCTTACGCCTGAGCCTCTCACGCAAGTCCTGGATCGCCCTCCTGAACTGCTCCTCGCTGCGTGCGCCGTTGCCTCCGCCGTCAGCGCCCTCAGCCGCCGCTGGACCGCCAGCGCCGCCTTCAGCGGGGCCCGCGCCTGCCGCAGCGCCGCCCCCACCTGCAGAAGGTCCTCTGGCGCCGCCTCCAGCGGCGGCGCCGTCGGCCAGGGCAGCCGCAGCGGGGGCACCCAACCCCGCCTTACTGGCAGCCTTCACTCTCGCCGTGTCCGAGCGCACCACGTTGCGGTTGGGCCACTTGGTGGCGAGGTGGCAGGCCCCCACTGCCTGGCCGTACAAGTGCAAGACCGACGACCTCATAGCAAAGAGCCCCTGCAGGCATGAAGTGTGGCTGGCTGCAGGACTCCACCGTCGCCTCCATGAACTGACATGCTCCGTCCGCGGGCCCGGCTCCTGACACGCGGAACTCGGCGGTGCCGTTGGGCTGGCCCCGCGCATCGTACATGACGACCTCCAACAGGGCCCCCGGGTGGAGCTGCAGCTGCTCAGCGCGTAGGGAACCAGCGGGAATTATATCCAGGGACCAGGACCTCCTCCGCACCCTGCGGGTGCCGCCACTGCGGGCATGCCGAAGGCTCCGCCGTACGGAGGCAGGCCCGCGGGCACCCCGAGCAGGCCTCCAGCCGCCGCCCCGCAGGGGAAGCCTCCGGCCAAGCCAAGCTGTCCAGCTCCGCCCGCAGCGCCCCACGGCGGTGCACCCCAACCACCTGCGGGGCACCCCGCGATGGGAGCAGGCGGCAGCGGGCCCGCAAGAGGAGTTGCGCCACCTCCAGCGGCACTAGGAGGGCCGACGAGCGCGCCGACTCCAGGCAGCCCTGGGGCCACGCCTGCCGCGCCACCCGCGAAGGCCGCGGCGCCAACCACGGCCGCGGGAGCCCCTCGCGCCTTGCCGCGGCCAGCTCCGCGTCCCGCGGCCGCGCCAGCAGCTCTTCTCTTGGCGGCGCCGCGCCCAGGTTTGCCCAATGCCGCCCATCGCAAGCTTGGCGGCCCGCGCGGCGCCGCCTCCTGCTGCGCCTGCAGCACCGCCTGCGCCAACAGCTCCTGCGGCCGCTGCGGCCCTGGCGCGAGTCGGGGCGGGGGCGGGGCAGCATCCCGCCCACGCCAGGGGGCATGGCTGCGAAGCCGCCCGCGACGCCGCCCGCCCCGACGCCCAGGATTCCGCCCGCGGGGCCCACCAGCGCGCCGCTAGGGCCCTGCGCTTCCCACGCCTGGCGCCGCTCCGCCCCCGAACATCAAGGGGGGCGGGCTGGCGCGGTGGCGGCACGCTCCGCGGCGGAGCCGCCGCGAGCCCAGGCCCTGCTCAGCGGGCCGCCATCCCGCACCACACAAAAATAGCCTGGGCCGCGGCCCGGGGGGGGGGGATACAGGCACCCACCCCAGGAAAAAAACCCTTTTGTATGGCATATTCCTATACACAACCCATGTGCAACTAAATCCGCGGCCCCCTTGTGGGGCCACCAGGCTGTAGGCCCGTGATTCGCAGTTTCCTGTGCCAGTTGTAGTTTGTAGTTTCCAGTGTTACAGTTCTGCTTCTTGCTGATTACTGTAACTAGTTGATTGACCGCGCGAGGGGAGGGAGGCCCAAACCAGATTTTTTAGCGTCTCCTGGGCGCGTTGTCTGAATTGCTGGGGGGGCTCGAAATCGACACCCCTCACGCAGATCCGCGGGGTCAGGGTCCAAAAACACAAGGGATTTCCAACATTTCTGAAAGTCGGTGCCACCCCTCACGCAGATCCGCGGGGTCAGGGTCCAAAAACACATGGGATTTGCGACATGTCTGAAATTTGGTGCCACCCCTCACGCAGATCCGCGGGGTCAGGGTCTAAAAACACAAGGGATTTGCCACATTTCTGAAATTCGGTGCCACCCCTCACGCAGATCCGCGGGGTTAGGGTCCAAAAACACAGGGGATTTGCCACATTTCTAAAATTCGACGCCACCCCTCACGCAGATCCGCAGGGTCAGGGTACAACAACACAAAGGATTTGCCACATTTCTAAAATTCGACGCCACCCCTCACGCAGATCCGCGGGGTCAGGGTCCACAAACACAAGGGATTTGCCACATTTCTGAAATTCGGTGCCACCCCTCACGCAGATCCGCGGGGTCAGGGTCTAAAAACACAAGGGATTTGCAACATTTCTGAAATTCGGTGTCACCCCTTACGCAGACCCGCGGGGTCAGGGTCCAAAAACACATGGGATTTGGCACATTTCTGTAACCCAAACTGCGAGTACTCCCTCGGCCCTTTAATCCCAAGGTGTGGTAACCAAGCTCGTAAACCATACACGTCTTACCAATCGCCCTGTGTGGTAACCCCTCTTGTGATCAGTTGGTTTTGCCGATTGCGAATCGGCCTCGCATGAAGTTCCGATACTGCTGCACGACAGCGCCAAAGCCTCATGACTTAGCTCTTCCATGGCCCATTCTCCGAGAGAGGGGGCCGGCGGCAGGGGGCGAAGCCCTTACGGATAAGAGACAGGGAGAGGCGGGAGCAAGTGAGTGAGGAGTCGGAGGCGGCTGCGTAATAACAATAACCACATCTTAAGATATGGGGAACAAGCAAAAGGCGTGAGACACCCCACAACCTGGGCGCGAATATTCAAGTATCCCCACCCGTGGTGTCACCCCCTGGGGGTGCTGAAACCTGCGCCTCGCTCGAGGCATCCTCACAATCTACTCTGATCGAAAAAGAATATGGGGGACCAAAGCAAGCAAACCGACCGAGACATCCCCACAATTGGGGCGCGAATATTGGAGTGTCCCCACTCCTTGCACCACCCCCTTGGGCTGCTGAAACAAGCGCCTCGCTCGGGAGTGCGATTGCTTCACAAGCCTGAGAGAGTTTGAATAAGAATGAATCCTAGCGTCAGTCCGAGTGTGAGTGGGTCCGAGTGTGAGTGAGTCTGAGCGTGAGTAAGACTGAGTGTGAGTGAATCTCAGTGTGAGTGCGTCTGAGTGTGACTGATCTGAGTATGAGTGAGTCTGAGTGTGAGAAAGTCTGGCCTTGATGGGCGGGCTTGAATCTGAAGGAGTTCAGGAGTTGGAGGCGCCCGAGCAATTACAAGAACCCCATCTTAGGATACATAAAGAAGCACATGGCCCCAAAGCCTGATAACGTGCTCCGTAGGCTCAGCTCGAGGAGAAAGCGTAGTGGTTTAGACGTATACTGTATGTATGTATTTGTGTATGTATGTATATACACACACCCATCGGTCGGAAGTAGGTAGGAACACGAAGTAGGAAGGCGTTGAAAGTGGACTGGATGTCCGCCCGCCCCCTAAGGAGGACGGAAGAGGGGAAGCCACTCGAGCATTGAAGCAGGATGGCGCTTAAAAAAGATGTGAACCTGGGTGGATGTACTTTCAACGACCGATGGGTATGTACATATATATATATATATATATATATACATATATATATATATATACATGTATATATATATATATATATATATATATATATATCCGCCGGCCCCCTTGTGGGGCCACCAGGCTGTAGGCGCGAGGTTCGCAGTTTCCTGTACCAGTTGTAGCTTGTAGTTTCCAGTGTTACAGTTCTGCTTCTTGCTGGTTACTGTAACTAGTTGATTGACCGCGCGAGGGGGGGGGAGGCCCAAACCATATTTTTAGCGTCTCCTGGGCGCGTTGTCTGAATTGCTGGGGGGGCTCGAAATCGACACCCCTCACGCAGATCCGCGGGGTCAGGGTCCAAAAACACAGGGGATTTGCCACATTTCTGAAATTCGGTGCCACCCCTCACGCAGATCCGCGGGGTCAGGGTCCAAAAACACATGGGATTTGCCACATTTCTGAAATTCGGTGCCACCCCTCACGCAGATCCGCGGGGTCAGGGTCCAAAAACACATGGGATTTGCCACATTTCTGAAATTCGGTGCCACCCCTCACGCAGATCCGCGGGGTCAGGGTCCAAAAACACAGGGGATTTGCCACATTTCTGAAATTCGGTGCCACCCCTCACGCAGATCCGCGGGGTCAGGGTCCAAAAACACAGGGGATTTGCCACATTTCTGAAATTCGGTGCCACCCTTCACGCACATCCATCGCAAGGCGTGGTAACCCAAACTGCGAGAACTCCCTCGGCCCTTTAATCGCAAGGTGTGGTAACCAAGCCCGTAAACCATACACGTCTTACCAATCGCCAGGTGTGGTAACCCCTCTTGTGATCAGTTGGTTTTGCTGATTGCGAATCGGCTTCGCATGAAGTTTCGATACTGCTTCACGACAGCGCCAAGGCCTCATGACTTAGCTCTTCCATGGCCCATTCTCCGAGAGAGGGGGCCGGCGGCAGGGGGCGAAGCCCTTACGGATATCGATCGTCCAATCGCGGAAGGAACGAAAGACAACCACGGAACACTCGCGGGACAACCCCAGCATTCGCGGGACGGGCACGCGGAACACATTTGGCCTGACTCGCTGCGGCCGATGGTCCCTCTCGTACGATGGCCCGATTCTGAATTGCCAGCGCACGCGTCACGCAAGACACGAACACAACATCGAGTGTGTACTCATGATTGGGCCACCACGCTCCCACCCCCCAGTATCCGAACATGATCCGAGAGAGCGTAAGTCCTCGGAGGCGCTCGACGCGCCAAGCAAGGGGGGGAGAGAGAAAACTCTAGTTGCCTCATCAAGCGCCCAAGCCAAGACTTCAGAGCCCTATGCTCCCACGTCTGCGTGGCACCCAGGTGCTCCGCAGTTTGCTTCTCCCAGCTTGGAACGATCAGCTGCGTACTATATTCAAGCGACGGTAGGAAGGATCCGAAACAAAGTTCTCGCACTGGCTTGCGACATGCCATCCAACAGACTGGCCTGAAGCAGAATGACGACACCGTTGAAGAAGAAACCAAAGGGAGGAGGGGCGGAAAACAACAAATAAGAGAAGGCGGTGGTGGAGGCGAGAAGCAACATGAGGTGACGGAACACAAACCATAAGAGAAGGCGATGGTTGGGCGAGAGAAAGAGAACGAGAGATGCTGGCTCATAAAGACAGGTAGTGCCTGCTTCTTCCCCTTGCACTCCTCAGCTTTTGTGCCTGCATTGAGTGGGCCCGTGGTTCGGGAACGGGGGAGTGGCACAGAGGGGGACGAAAGACAAACGACGAGCAAGGAGGATACCAAGCATAATCATGCACAGTAGGAGATCGACCACAAGAAACCCAACCCTGAGACCCCAGGACGTCCATTGATTGTTGGTCTGGGAAGGACACGCTGTCCATCAAACAACCATCGCAACCCAGAAAACCCAGGGCACCCTGGAGGCGAGCAGGGTGTTTCTTGGCATGGGCTTCCATGGTATTCGATCTGCTATCGGGTCTATGACAATAGTGAGGAATGACGTCGGATCCTTGGACGCCTCAGCCAGTGCTGCGCAGATCTTCACACGTGTGCCTGCGACCAGTCCCACGTCGGAGGCTGCCAGAAGCGATTCGGTTCCAAGGTGTCCCCGGCTTCGCGGGCCATGTCGAGCCCCCGTGGGGATCTCTGGCATGGCCGCGTGAGAGGCACTCTGGAAGCTACCTGGGCATCCCGCGAGACCTGGGATCAGCGTCGCGTGACGTGCTCGAGGTTGGGAAGGACGGCGCCTTTCGCCTTCCAGGCCTCGGACAGCGGCTGCGGCCACGTGGTGCACTGGGAACGAGCGTGATACGGACGGGGGACCAAATGTACGAGACCTATGTTGCTTCACATCAGCAATTTGGCCCCTGCTGACTTTTTTTTCAAAATAATATATTGGGATGAAACGCTGCCGCTGGATATATCGAGCACAATTGATCACAACACAAACGCTCCTGCGATCCCCGCCAAAATGGCAAGAAATGGTAAGCTCAGATCCGCATGGCTACATTGCAACCGAACCGCTTGACCACCATCTCGACCGAACTGGCGGAATTCGACCACGCGTCCGACAAAATACGTTCGACGAGGGATGCGCTGCACAATGCCCCGGCCACGGGCAGCGCTACGAGGGAAAGCGGGCCCTTCGATGTGTCACTTTCAGCGCCCGTGAAAGTGACACCTCCCAGGGCCCACTTAAAGAGCACCAGAAAGGCTCCAAGAAGGCCCCGAGAAGGCCCCAGGGCGGCACCAAGAGGGCTCCCAGAGGGACCCAAGAGAGGCCCCAAGAAGGGCCCAAGAGGGCCCTCCGCGGTGTCACTTTCAACGCCCGTGAAAATGACACCTCCCAGGGCCCACTTAGGGCCTCAGAAAAGCTCTAAGAAGGCCCCGAAAGGGCCATAGAGAGCCGCCCTGGGTTCAACTCCGCGTGGCGGAGTTGGAAGCGATAACTTCAATACCCTACTGGAGGCCTCTTAGGGGCCCTAAGACGGCACTGAAGAACCCCATCGGGGCTTTTTCAAAGGCAGAGGAGGGCGCAAAAAGGGGCCTCAGTGAGCCCCTGGTCTAACTCCACCTGGCGGAATTGGAAGCGATATCGCCCGGCGCCTTCATGGAGCCGCTCGGAGCTTCCAAGACGGCTCCAGAAGGCCCCAGGAGGGCCCCAAGAGGATCGAACGACGATTCCTGGAAGTGCACCAGTGAGACCCTTGTTGACCTCCGCCTGGCGGAGTTGGAAGCGACAATTTCCAGTGCCCTCTTGGGGCCTCTGGGGGGCCCCTCAGAAAGCTTTGGAGAGCACAGCGAATGCCTTCGCAGGGCCGCGTGAGAGCCGTACCAGGGCCGCATGTGTGCGCGGATGGGGGCGACGAGTGCTGACGCCGACGAATATGAGAATGATGAGGGCGATCAAGGCTGGCCCGAAACAAATCCTGGCGCCATTGCAGGCCGCCGATTATCGGCCACGCCGCCAGGACGACGCCAAGCAACAAAACGACACCAACCAACAAACCGACACCAACCAACAAACCAACAAATAAAACGACACCAACCAACGAAACGACACCAACCAACAAAACGGCACGAATCAACAAAACGGCACTGACCAACCAAACGACAAATCACTTCACGACACCAATGAACAACGCGAAATCCACCGACCGCCAACCAAGCATAAAATCAACCGACACAACGAAACCAACCCATAGAGCCAGACCAACCACTGGATTCGTGAGTCGGGGTAGTCATGGAAGTGAGCCGCTGCAGCCCGCGGAAGCCATTAACAGTGACCAGAGCACCGCAATGCAGCAACGTCCCTGGGCGGCGGCGGGACTCTTGGATCTCCCGCGGGACTGGAGCGTCGCGAGTTCGTCCTGGGTCCGGTTTAGTGAAGTGAAGAATTTCGGGGTGCTTGCATGGCAAAAACCTTCACTTCACTAATCTGGGGCCCCTGGAGCCCCAGGGCGTTTCAGGTCCCCTCGCTGTCTGGGTAGTCCAGGGGGCGCAGTGGCGGCTTACCAGAGGCCCTGTTCCCTAGCCTCACTTGCTTTCACCCGTGGTGCTCGACGGCCGTCTCGGAGCTGTCTTGTGGCGGTCTGGGGCAATCCCGAAGCCTCTTGGAGCCATCCCAAGGCCCCAAGGCGCCACCAATGGGGGCCCCAAGAGAGCTCCCAGAGGGCCCCGAAAGGCCTACAACAGATTGCACGTTCGCGCGAATTCTTTGTACCACTTTGGGGGGTCCCTCTTGGGGCCCTCGGGGAACGTTCTTGGGGCCCTCCGAGGGCCCACTGGGGCCCCGGGAAGGCCCCAAGAACGCTCCCAGAGGGCCCCAAGAATGCTCCAAGAGGGCCCCAAGAGGACCCCCACAAGTGACAAAAACTATTTTCATGAGGGTGCAACTTACTCGGCGCTTCTTGGGGCGCTCTTGGAGCCGTGCTGGGCGCCACTCGTGGACGACATGGGCTGGGCGACGGCATGTGGACCCTGTCGCTTGGGCCATCGGGGGTGCTCCCCAATGGGGCCACGAAGCTTGTGAGCGTATGACGGAATGGGCTGGGCGGCGGCCTGTGGGCCCTGCCTGTGGGGCCGTCGGTGTAGCTCCCCGTGGGGCCACGAAGCGTGTGAAACGTATGCCGAAATATGCTGGGCGGCGGCCTGGGAAACCTGCCGCTGGGACCTTTTGTTGGTGGAGCTGCCTATAGGGGCACGAAATGTTTGAGGGTGTCATCAATGTGGCCTGGGCGACGGCATGTGGACCTTGCCGCTGGGACCTCCGATGAGCTCCTCATGGGGACACGAAGCGTCTGAGGGGCGTGCCGACATGGGCTGGGCGGCGCACTAAGGACCCTGCCGATGGGGCCTTCGGTGGAGCACCTCACAAGGCCACGAGACTTGCGGGGGATGTGGCGAAGCAGAGACGCGGGGGAACAAGGGGGGTGTTTTGATGATGTTGATGAGGATGGTGGTGGTATTGATGATGGAGACGGCGAGAATGCTGATGATGCTGATGATGATGGTGATGGCGACGATGACGATGGACGATGACGACGGAGACACGCGGAGAGCAAGGGCAGATACGCGAAGAGGGAGGACGAGGGAGGGGGCCGGAAGGAATGACGCGGGGCGGTGTCTCTTCAAAACGAAGAACCAACACTGCAATATGGTAGGAAATTTCTGGACGACCCCCCCCCGTGGCGCGGTCAATGTCCGCGACAGCATCGCTGGCACTACGAACGAAATTATCGAACTCTTCCTGCGACGTTACCCGCGGGGTGGATCAGCCAGGGATGGGGGTCGAAACCGCCCCAGCGCAAAGCAAATGTACAATCCGGAGAAACCCCAACCCACATCAACCGATCCGCAACAAGCACGCAAGCCTTTGACGACCCCAACGCACGTGACATCGCATAACGCGACGCGCCATCGAAAACGTTCGACGCGCGGCCTCGGAATGACATCGGGCTTCATGGAAAGTCGAATGGAAAACATGAAAAACCGCTCTGTGGGCTCCGAGACCCAAAATTACTGATGTGAAGGATTTCGGCTCGTCGAAAATGCAGACAAATCGTGCCCCCGCGCCTCCCCCCCCGCCCTCCCCCCTGGGCATGCGAGACGGATGAAAGCCCCCAGGGCCATCGTCAACTCTGGCAACACCCGAGCATGGTCGTGGGAGGCGGCGCGTCTACTCTCTCAGCATGAGCGGCTCCAAGGGCTGCGAGTGCCCGCGCGACCGTCGGGGGCCTCCGGTCCGGGGGCCGCCCTGATCGCCACCCTGGCGGGCTCAGGGCCTCCATGTGTTTTTTTTGTTCTGATCAGACATGATTCTCCTACAATAAGGGCTCGACCACAAGAAACCTCCCACAGGAAGCCCAGCCCTGGAACCCCCAGACGCCCATTGATATTTAACATGGGGGCGTCACGCTTTCCACATAGCGTAACCCTTGAGGCCCAGGAAACCGAGGGCACCCTGGAGGCAAGCAGGGTGCTCCTTGCCATGGGCTTCCACTGTATACAGTCCTCCTGAACTTGACGCTGCCACTGGACCCAGAGATCCGATGTCGTGAATTTGTCAACGCGGGTCCCTGGAAATCTCGACCCATTCCCCAAGATCAACTTCTCATCCCGAGTCGTTTTCTGACGGTCCCGGGGCCCGGCGAGGGCCCCTCGAGGCCGAAAAATAAGGAAAACCTGTCTTGTTTTTTTCAATACGTTGGATCTCTGGGTATGCAGCCCTGCTGCCCCTGACGCTGCAACTGGAGCCCTCCTGGGACGGAGCGGGACCGTCCGCCGAAACTCTCGGTTTAAGTCGGGCCTGTCCCTCTACGGGAGGAATATTCAGAAATAGTACAAGATCATCAGGGGACAACTTTTCCCAACCAACCTGTGGTGTTGGGTCCTCGTTTTGAAGAGACAGTCCCCGCGTTCCTCTCCTCTTCTCCTCCTCCTCCCCCTCCCTCCTCCCCCTCCTCCCTGCGTTTCACCCACCCAGTACAGCGCTTCGTGGCCCCATAGGGAGCTCCACCGAAGGTCCCAGTGGCACCGCCCGCATGCGTCCGACACCACCGAGCATAGCCCTTGCTCCCTGCGCTTCACCCACCCAGTACAGCGCTTCGTGTCTCCATAGGGAGCTCCGTCAAAGGTCCCAGTGGGACCGCCCGCATGCGTCCGCCGCCACCCGACACAGCCCGCCCGCATGCGTCCG